AGGGCAATTCCTCAATTGCCGTGGCTTCCGCCGCAGGGGGGGTTGAGGCGTTCAGGGCACTTGGGATTTTAGGGTTTCGGGATGACGGGTTTGGGGGATTAGGGTTTCGGAATTACGGGTTTAGGGTTTGGGGGTTGGGGATGCTTGAGGCTCAGGGACCCGAACCTAGCCTTGCTTGGGACTTCAGCTGATTTTGGGTCAAACCTGGGGTTTAGGGTTTAGGGTTTAGTTGTTTATATGTATGTATGTGGGTGACGGCTTTTGAGTGAGCAGTGAGCAGTTTACCAACTTCCGGGAATCAGGCGCACGTTATGGCATCTTCTTCAAGAAACCGTTTCTGAACCCAAACCCTAAACCCGAAACCCCAAACCCTAAACCCCAAAACCATAAAGAGGCCACGGAGCTTTTCCATGCAGCAGCGGCAGCCCCCCCATCGACCAAGAACTCCTTCCACTAGGTTCAGGGTCTACCAGACTGGGTCTTTGGGGCAGCGTACCTTAGCCGAAGAAGGTTAGCCTTTTCAATTATGGTAGAGTTAGATAAAGCGTAAAAGGGCGGACTTGCACTGAAGAGCCCCAAACAGTGGCAACACCAACGTTCAAGCAAGGCTACGGCACTGCTCGCCAAAGATCGAGAATGTATGATGACGGAAACTGTTGATGGGAAGCCCAAGCGTACATACCGAAGTGCGCATACCGCTGGCAAAGCACCACTAACGACATTAAGATCGGAGCCAGCACAACTTCCTGAATGTCACATTTTTTTAGGTGATACCGATGCTATATTTACTGGAGATGCTGGTATGAATGCCAACAAATTTAAAGGCCGTCGTGGCAGTTGTTAGAATCATAAGAATTCATAAGAACAAAGCATGCAGGAAACCGCCTTTCACATAGCGTCAAGACAACACCCTAACTAAACCCTAAACTAAGGTAAGCTATAAGCTGCTTTGCCTGGCAGCGCCGCAGACACATGATCGAATACACTGGATAAGTCGAAAGTGCTGATTACAATACATGTGTACGTGTGTATAGGGACCATACGAGGACAGACGCGCACAGAACGTCGAGTTGTTCTGACCTCTATGTTCAGGGTGCTCTTAGGGTTCAGGCCTTAGGGGCCTAAACCTCCAAGCCCTAAACCCTAAACGGTTCAGGGATTACTTAGGGGTTTATAGGAGAGTGTTTGGGGTTTGTTCAGGTCGATTCTGACAACCTGAGCCCCGGCAAGGAGAAGCTCCTGTGTGGAGAGTCTAAGCTTCCATGTGTGCCTCCTCCAGTGTGTGTTTACCTTGCGAGGGTTCGGGTTTAGGGGGTCAGGGTTTGGTTGTTTTTTTTTAAGTGCAGTGACTCTTTTGGGGTTTTTTAGGGCTTAGGGTTTAGGGTCAAGGTTTTTGGGATTTAGGGTTCAGAGCTCAGTTTGGGGCTTAAGCTGGTTAAGTTTTAGGGGTTGAGGTTGAGGGTTTATAGTTCAGAGCCCAATTCAGGGTTAAACCTTAATTCTGGATTATCGGAGCAGTTCTCCGGTTGAGGAGGGAGTTTCAAGTATCCTGATCGTGATATACGAGTCAGTAGCAGTCCTCGCCACAGCAATGATCCAAGGGTAAAAGGAGGGATCCTTAATAAGGACCCCTAGGTATAATCCCATAGTATAGCTGTTATATATCCATTATACAGCCCATATAGGGTCAGGGTCCCCATTAATGGTCCCTCTTTTTCCCCTTTGAAATTATGTACCGAGAAGCCGGCTTAGAACAGTCATGCTCAGAGCCCTGAGCCCGATAGGTCTTATATGGATCTTTGGCAACATGATGGTCCCTTTTGGGTCCCTAAGATAATACGGCACCTATGCAGGGTACCCGAAAAGGGGCCTTAATTTTGACAACTACCCATATCGTATTCTACAACCTTTAAAACCCTCCAAAGAGCCTCCACTTAAGCTTTTGGGCCGTAGGATCTCAGGTGCGGTTCTGGAACGACCCTGGTGAAGACTCGATAACCCGACGGCTAAAATACGGGCCTTCCTTAATAATTCGACCAGGTTTTTGGGGTGGTATCTTGTACTATCCTTGTAATACGGAGCCCTAAGGAATAGTATTGGTAATTCGAACGGGTTGTTGGTGGTATCTTGTACTATCCTAGTAATACGGGGCCCTAAGTGACTTTGTTTTGTGGCTCTTTGGAAAAACCCTAAACCCTCAACCCCCGTCTGATATCGTGACCTTGGTCGACTGTTGCCGCTGCTGAAACGACTGCCTGGCTGTGCAGCAGATGATGAGCCGGTCTTTGCCTTTACCTTGCCTTGCATTTCTGCAGTGGCTGTGTGTCTACATCTTCTTCAATCTTGACTCGAATCTTGACATTTGACTTCGATGTTCAAGCAGGCCACACCATCGCACTCGATGCTCCAGCAGCCTGAGTTGAAGTGGTACCCGGTGATAGCAAGCAGCAATTCTCCAAATTGGCATCGCAGCTCCGACTGCAGATAACAAACGCCTGCATGACTCAATGCTCTCAAAGCATGTGCGTCCTTGCATGCAGGCTTGGTTGGCAGAACTCTCTGTATCGACTCACTAACTTCAAAAAACTAAAGTGCCGGCAGAGCAAGGTTCATGATGCTTCTGTCCGACCTAAAAGTATCCCTCTAGATCCCTTCAAGGGGCCCTGAAAGGAACCGTTACTCCTAGGCTCCTTTAAGGGTTCTTTCAAGGGTTCCTTTAACTCTCAAGCTCCTGCTGACGATGCTCTTGCCGGCTTTTAGGTCTTGCAGGGCTGCCTTGAAATGGGAGCTTCCGAGAACTAGGGGTACCTTATTTGGGTCCTTATAATAAGGATCCTACTATTTAGGGTACCTTTTTTTAGGGCCCCCGATTTTCGGAAACTCCCAAAACACCAACCCATGGTTCGGGTATTATGACGGGCCACTTACGGTTCTTTTAGAGTTTAGGGTTTAGGGTTTAGGGTCCACGGTTTAGGGTTTAGGGTTCCTACCCATAACCCTAAACCGGTTTAGAGTTTAGGGTTCGGGGTTGAGGGTTTAGGGCTAAGCCCCTTAACCCTAAACCCCAAGCCCCTGAACCCTGAACCCGAAACTCCCCAAACCCTAAACCCTAAACCCCAAGCCCCTAAACCCTAAACCCGAAACCCCCACATGGAAGAGTCGAACTCCCAACCCTCTGCCAGGAAACAGCGCTGAAGATCGGTGAAGAAAGTTTGGCCTGGCAAGGTGAGTTTATAGTAAACCCCATAAAGTTGGAAACCGGATTGAGGCCAAATAGTGCTGGGATTCCCTATACATGACTCTTAAGGATTGACACCATTGGGTTTCCAACTTTTGGGCTTCTACTGTAAAAACAAGACAAGACCTGATACTGCTCTTGCTGGCTTGCCTGCTGCTACTCATCTTCTACCCAAGTGGGAGTTTCCGAAAACTAGGGGTACCTTATTGGGGGTCCTTATAAGAAGGATCCTACTATTTAGGGTACTATATTAGGGTCCCCTATTTGCGGAAACTCCCAAGTTAGCGATTTGTTTGCAAGTCTTCTACAGGACTACATCGTCAGAGTCTCTGTAATAGCTTTACAGGCCGGTACGCTCACCATATGGGAGTTTCCGAAAATTAGGGTACCTTACTTTGGGGTCCATATAATAAGGATCCTATTATTAAGGGTACTATATTAGAGTCCCCTATTCTCGGAAACTCCCATATTAGTAGTGATGTAAACTCTGCTCCAACTGGCGCATACTGATGGTCTTCTTGTGATTACTGTTGCTATTACCCGATAGCACTGGGCCCCAAACCCTAAACCTTAAGCCCTAAACCCCAAACCCCCAAACCCCAACCCTAAACCCTAAAAGGGAATTGAACCTGAGACCTGAAAAGCGAAGCCGCAAGCCCAACGCAAGGCTTAACTCACCTCTACTTGTCACTGTCGGTCGGCCAGGGCTTTCAGGGTTTTCAGGGCTTTCAAGTTGAAGCTTTGGTATCATCTACTTTTCCCTTAATGTAGGAACCTGATTAAGAAACCCTGGGCCTATAATCCCAAAATTGCAGGATTCATATAAGGCACCCAAATAAAGGCCCAAGGTTTCTTAATCAGGTTTCTACATTATCCTATATCCATATACCGAATCACCGGGCATGTTGGGACCGCAGGGACAGGGCATGGTGTTTCGGGTGTAGGATCCTCGATCAAGATGGGGTCTTACCCCATGCCGTTTCCGGGCGAAGCTTCTTATGGCCAGGAACTTCTACATCAGATCCTCTACACAGAAAACCCGATGCCCTGAAACACGAGTAGGCTATAGTAGGTCTCGCTGGCGAGAGGGAGCCTGGGGTGACCGCATCAACATTACATCCTGTCTGAGTTCAGAGTTTCCTTCAATCTGCCGCAGAAGAGAATTCCAAGCCTCGTCAGACACCTTAAACCCCGAATCTTAAACCGAAGTCGCTGAAACCGCTAATGTAGGGGCCTTAATAATTAGAATAGGGTTTTGGGGCCGGTACATTATACTATAACTATAATAAGGAATCGCCCCCAACATAGTATAGGTAATTGTTAAGGCCCCTATATTACATACATCTTTATAGTACCCTTATAGTTTCCCTTAGAGGAACCCTTTAAAGGAATCCCTAAATAGTATAGGCGATGATAATGGCCCCTATATCATCGCTCCGAGCATGGACTCCCAGCTGTGCTCAGCTCTGAAGCCTTCCGTGATCTAAGCCCAAACTCGGCTTAGGGTTTAGGGTTTTTAGGGATTTAGGGGTTTGGGGGTTTAAAAAGTGCTCCCTTTTTGGTATTGTGTAACTATATGAGGAACCTGGGACTACAAAAAGGGAAAAAGGGCCCACCGGGAAGCTTAGCTGACCTATCCAACCCTATAGCCTGACCCTACCATAGAACTCGAAAGCCCTGCACAGTTCCTAAACAATGAATCCTAAACCCCTAAACCCTCAAGGTGCCTTTAAGGCGTCCAGGACGGTTCCCTCAGTCTGCTTCACCTGGCTAAGAGCAGCTTTGTGCCAGAGGGTTTTGGGGTTTCGGGCGTCTGGGCTTTAGGGTTCAGGGCGTTTGGGTTTAGGCTTATGGGCTTTTAGGCTTGAGGTGGTTGGGGATCGTGAGAAACGTTCAAACCTGGTCTCTCGAGTGTGTGTGTGTGTGTTGTGTGTGTGTCTGCTGTGTGTGTGTGTGGTGCTGTGATGTGCTGTGTTGTGCTGTGGTATGTCACTCTACATCCAGCTCTCTCAGCAATCCGGGGTTCTCGGGATCGGGATATAGCCAGGACCGTCTGCGGGCCACATTATCATCGTCCTTCTTCTTGTCATCGTAATGGGTGTCGCGACCCTGCATGTCCTCGGCTATGGAGAACGTGACCTGATTCAACATGCGAAGCTGCATCTCCGCGTTTGACAGCCTTGCCCCAAAGCCATTCATCCGATCGTCATCGTCCCGGCTGTCTTCCTTTTTGCTGTCGTCGTCTTTCCTGTCCTCTATGCCCTCTACTTAAACCCCGAAAGACTCCCCCCCCAACTCAGGTTTTGGGACTTGGGGCCTAGCTTAAGCAACCAGAACCTGTCTGTTTTGTTTTTTTTGGAGGGGGGGGGTGTGAGGGGTCCCGAAATTTCGAGACTATAGTATCGAATAGGTTCGGGAGCTCGGGGGATCAGTGTGCTGTTGGTGCTACGGTTCAGGATTTTTGGGTCTTCGAGGGGCTGGTGGAGACTTGTGGTGTGGGGATGTTGAGGGGCTGGGTGCATGCTTCTTTGCTTCTTTAGGCAAGGGTTTAGGACTTAGCCTAAACCCTAGACCCCGAAAGGATCCCTTAAAGGTCACTAAAAGCGAACCCTTCAAGGATCCCAAAAAAGGGTCCCTAAAAAGGATCCCTTAAAGCATCTCTAAAAAGGATCTCTAGGTTCTTGAACTTTGGGTGCGGGCTTTAGAGCTTTAGCGTTTTGGGATCTCGATGGCTCGGCACCAGGGGCTTGTCGGTCTTAGGCGGTATCAGGGTTTCTGGTTTTTTTGAAGATGCAGTGGCTCTTCCTCCGCGGGAACACAGGTCCATGGCCTGGTTTCTAGTTTAGTAGTTTAGGCTTAATTAAGGGTTTAGGGCTTAGGCATTTAGGGTTTACGGGTGGCAAGTTGGGTGACAGATTGCAGGGCTCAGGACTTTCGGATTCCTCAAGAGCCCATTGGTCAATTACAGAGTTCGGGATTTAGGGTTTAGGGTTTAGAGTTGGGTTTAGGGTTTAAGGTTTCTCTTGGGATGCGGCGCCCTAAACAAGCACTACAACCCGCGAAGAGCCCCCAATTCCACGACGGAGTTCTAGGGACGTCAACGCTAAACCCTAAACCCAGGGGTTTAGGGCCGAGCCTAAAGACTCCAATATCCCTCAATTAAGGAATATACCAAAAATTCTAGTAGGATCCCTAATATGATTTAAGGAATATCTAGTAGGATCCCTAATATGATTTAAGGAATATCTAGTAGGATCCCTAATATGATTTAAGGAATATTCTTTAATGAAGGGATATTGGAATCTCTGGGAGGGCGTGTTGTTTACCCTTCAGTCCCGGGACTCCTTGTGGTAAGCAAGGACACATTTTGGGTTTAGGGTTTAGGTTTAGGGTTTAGGGTTTAGGGGTTAGGGCTTGTTATTCGAACCTCTTTGTAAGCCACCCCCGTTTGAGGCTTAGAAGGGCTTACTAAGCCTGATATGGTTTAGGCCTTTAAGCTGGGGACCTCAAGCCCAACGACTCTTCGACTGATGTTGTTTTAGAATTCTGAGCGTTCCGGCATGTTCCTGCCAAGCAAAGCCGGGCCAACTCAATGCCAACACAGCTACTCACAAAACACGGCGCATCCTACGCTTGCCCTAAATCCCCAAACCTAAACCCCAAAGAACCTACGTTAGTTTAGGACCACAAAGGAGCCCTAAAAAGGAAGGTTTTTATAGGGCTCAGGTAACTCCTAGAATGCGGTGCAAGCATGTCAGCGTTACAGCACATAAGGGTAGAGTTCAAACTTCCTGGCTGCACCTGACAGAGGCTGGCGCCCCCGCCCCCCCCGCAGGCGGACGGAGAGTTGAGATATTCTGGGGGCAGGGTACCTTAACTCCAAGCATAACCTACCTTTTTGAGGAATTGTATAAGGAAATCATGATGGGGAACCCCCAAAAGACGCGTTTTACAGGCTTCAGGGTAGTTTGTATAGGGTTGAGTAGGCTTTTACTAACGGTCTTTGGCCATCCATCGGGCTGAAACAGTAAGGGTTTCTCAAAAAGAATGGGCTCCTGGGTAGAATATAGTAGAACCACAGTATGGAACCGAAAAGACTAGGTTTGCTACTTTTCTCTACCTTATGCTTATAGATTTCTTTTGGGAGTGGTGTGTCGCGCTGCAGGTCTGGGAATCCAGGTTTAGGGGCTCTTAGTTGCTGAGTTCATAAGCCCCAAAACGCGTACACTTTTCGCCTTATAGTGGGAAATCTTATCCCCCATAGCCCCCAAAGTAATTCCTTTGAGGGGTTCATATATAGAATTCTATAAGGTAATCCCAAGAAGGAACTACTGTAGGGTGTATCCACTCAGCTACTAAGAGCTTGAGGTTCAGGCTCAGGCTCGGGGCAAGCATCAAAGCCTGGAGTTCTACGCGAAAGCCCTAAAGCCTACACGACGCCTAAACCCTAAACCCTACAAAGTCCGGGAAACGCGGCGCTTCACTTGAATTTTAATGTCGCTGAGTGCGAAACTCCTGGATCTGTACGGCAACTCTTCGGCTTTCGGGACTTTGGGTTTGGGGTCATTTGGGTTGTACTTGGAGGGTCGGGGGACTTAGTAATTGGCTATTCTAGGGACTTATAAGTACCATAACCCCAATTAGGGTCCCTTTTAGGGTACTTATAAGTCTACTTACTACCTACTTACTAAGTCCCCCGACCCTCCAAGTAGGGTATAGAGGGGTTTGGGCGTGTCTAGGAGCGCAGGGATTGGGGCTTCTGGGGGTTTTGGGACTTCGGAAGCATGTTGGCACTGACATAGGGCTGGGCCATGGAGAATGCTTAAGGTTTGGGCATAAGGCGCCACTCGAAACGCCTTATCAATCGATCTTCAAGGCCCCCCGCGGTGCGCCGGCAACTTTATCGCCACTCCACTGTGATCATAATTTGGTCGACTGTTCAAGCGCCCTGGCTTCTGTCCACTGCCTGGAGCTGTTGCGACTCGAGGATCTTACGGACCACTTCAGGCTCCCCATGATCGAGCACATGCTGCCAGTTGTTGCATCAACGCCCGCGAACTTACGGCTTCGCGGAGCCTCCTTGTGTTCCATTTGTGGTCTCTATGCACCCAAGACAAGGCACTCTAGTGCACCTCCACCCATTTCCGACTCCTCGCTCCCACTTGATCGTCTCTTCGTAGTCGTGAACTGCCGCTACAGACTGAGAAGTGAGCCAGGGATGGACGTCCTCGAAGCGGCTGCTTGATCTGCTCTGACAGTAAATCGAAAGCTAATTTGGACCACATCATCAAGAGAAATGTTGAGCTGAAAAGTGTGTGCTTTGAGGAAGTGTCCACGCTCATCTGCAGATAATTCCCAAAGGGTCCAAGTAATAATAGTATATACTGTTGAGCCCAAATACCTACATATTTACCATAATAGTACTTAGACCCTTTGGGATTGCTGGGTTAGACGCTTATGGCTTGTGGTGATACTGCCTTCTGCAGTCATCTCTCAGCTCCTGATGCCCGAAGCGCTAGAACTCCAAACCTACAAACCCAGGGCCATACTATAGGGGCCTTCATAAGTAGAATACGGTTTTGGGTTACATTATACTAATACTATACTATAATGAAGGGCCCCCGAACTAGTATTGGCAATTATTCATGCGCTATAAACTTGTTGTGATCAGCATCTGAAATAGCAGTGCCATCATCTTGGTCGGCAGCACAAGCGGCCTGCCAGCTATCCGTAATGCGGGCAAGCATTCATGGCAAATATGACGAGCAACCAGCGGTCTCAGCCTCTTTATCCCATCCCCGATAAACCCCAAACCTTAGACTCTAGACCTTGAAAGCTCAGCCCTAAACTCTAAACCCTGGACCATGAGCCTTCCATCCTAAGCCCCCAGCAGCCCCTACTCTGAAACACCGCAGCACCGAAAGAGCCTCGGTTACCAGGCTTGACGACCTGCACCACTTTGGCTTTGGCTGTTGCTCTGGGACTTTCGAGTTTAGGGTTTAGGGTGTAGGGTTTAGGGTTTAGCTGTAGGGAATTTGGGGTAAATTTTCAGTTTTGGGGGTTCAGGGCGAAGCTTTGTCTTTTACATTTTCGGTGCTTAGCGCTTCGTAGGATTTTTCGAGGCGTCGTGTATAGGGTTCTTGGCGGAAGTTTTGTGCGTTTGGGTTGAGGGTTTACTGCTTCGGTTAAGGCGTTCTTTTGAGGATCCAGGTTCAGGGCCTTGCAGCGCTGAAAACTCGAAGTCGACCCGCCCCGTAGGATCCTTTTTGGGTATGCCTGCACACCCCCAATCACCATAGCACGGCTTATATGGAGGGTTTAGGGGTCCAGCCAAAAGGATTATCACAGTCACGGTTGTTCATAGTAGAGGCGAATTACCTCGTTATGGGTAAACTCTTCAAGCTTTTCTGCACCTCCATGACGTGCATGAAGGCGATGCCCAAGGCGAACGAGCCAATCAGCCGTACGTCCTCGCGGAAACTAAAAACCGCCCTACGGCTCATGCTCCGGGTTTAGGATGTTAGGATTTAAGATCCAAAGTCTTATAAGGCCTTGGAGCCAAGGTGCACAGCTTATTGGATCTGCCCCAGACGTGCATCACTCTTGTACTAGTCTAGGATGCCCGAAGCGACCCCTATCGAGAGCAGGCCCATAGATACATTTATTGCGTCCGAAACCCAATACCCAGAACCCCAACTCTCACGCCTGTGCCCTGAACCGACAAATGCAACAGCATAGGGGCCTTAACAACTAGAATATGGCTTTGGGGCCCAGCATGCTATGACTATAAACAGGAACCACCAAAAGAGTATAGGTAATCATTAAAGCCCCTTTGCTACATAAGGCCGAGCCTCCATCTTCAAGCAGCGAATCCTTTGCCCAAAAATCTGTGCTGCAAACTTCTGGATTTCCGCGGGAAAGAAGACTTAGCCCACGAAGCTGGAACTGTCAAAATCCTAAAGTCTAACGAACTCGACTCCGTGTGCAAGTCTGGCGGGGTGAGAGCCCTACCTGCGCAACAGCCAAGCCTTGCTGCCACTGAAGCTAGGGCTGAAGGTTTAGGTCCAAACGAACGCAGCTCAGCCTGTCCTGGAATAGACATGAATAAGCACTCGCCGTATGAAAGATACTGGAAAACAGTTTACCCCAGTGACCCCTACACCCTATATTCTATATATCATACCCCCCAACCGCCCCCCAACAAAAACAAAAGCCTAGTCTAACATCAAAGGGTAAAAGGAGGGACCCCTAGTAAGGACCCCTAGGTATATATACCCATAATATAGCCATTATATACCCGTTATATAGCCCATTATAGGCTAGGGGGTCCCCATTAAGGGTCCCTCCCTTTTGATAACCTTGGCCCTAAGATCTGAACCGTAAACACCAGTCTAAGCAGCAAGGCCTCTCCTGGAAAAGGCCATCAGTACTACTTCCGGCAGGGGCAGCAGTAGACCTGGCACTAAAAGAAGTATGAGGGGCCGTGATTATTAGAGTAACTTTTAGGGTTTTATGTTGGCCATGGGGGTTTAGGGTTGTGGGGTATACTCTGCTAAAACTTCAGTCTGGAACAACAAAACTTGAAATACGGTTGGTGATGCAAATCCCGCATTACCCAAAATAAGGAAACTACCATAACTCCCACAGTTTAGGGCCCTTAAGGTACTGCAGGATTTAAATCATCAACAGTAGTATTGGTACTTGTTTGGCTCCGCTATATTCCGGCTTAAGGGTTGACTCTAACTGGGTTCCTTGTTCTATACCCCTCTTAGAACCATAATGAAAATAGTAGTTTTAACATGCCCTTGGGTTTTATATGAACAAAAATTCGAACAACCTGAGGAGACCATGGTGTTACCAGGGCCCTTGAGTTTGGGGGTATGTTGGGTCTCCTTTCGCATCTGATCAGCAACTTAAGTTTCATAAGGTTCCAGAGTTCCTCTAGTTACCATTATAGGTCTTGAGGCTTGAGGGCTTTAGGGTTCCCGTTTTTCAAGACCACGAGACCCAGCAGCTTTCAAGGTTTTGTGACTTGGGGCCAAGCGTCTGAACGTTTCCAGAGATATAGGGTGTAGGATCAACACCAAGTCAGAGGCTGCTTGTGACAAATCCAGGTACCCCATCCTAACAGAGGGGCCAGAATAATTGGAGTAGAGTGTATTTTGGGGTGAAGTATTGGCAGAAAATTCACACTCTCTCAGCTGTAAGCTCTACACCTATATGTGAAACCCACCTGTGTAGCGCTCCCCACCATGATTCCTTTTATATATCCTTAAGGGTTCAGGTCGACCCAGAAGCAGCCCCAGAATCAAACGAGAAAAGATGGAGCTCATGATGGGTTTCAGTTGTTCTCTTCTCAGGGTTTAGGGTTTAAGCTTGGCTTTTGTTGGGGGGTCGGAGTTGAGGCCGTGGGGTCTAGGGTGTTTTTGTCAGGGGTCTGTTTCGCACCTACACTAGCCTCGTCTAAACCCTAAACCTTGAACCTTCAATCTTAAATCCCTTGTAGGTCCAGCAAGTTGAGATCTACCCCCAAGCAAAGCTGATGTCGGCGTCATTTTCGGAGGATGACCTCAAGCAACTCAGACTGCAGGCGTCTACACCCTAAACCAGAGGCCCTAATCCCTAGCCTTAATCCCTAAACCCTGGGGCCTAAACCCCAATCACTAAACCCTAAACCCTTCCTCTTGGCTTGGAAGACCCAAGACCACCCCCAAGTAAGGACTATACCCTAACTCATAACAAGCCCTATGTGTGCAGTTTACGGTATATTCCATGGGCCTGTTGAATCGAAAAAACATCCTCGGAACCCCATAATTCCCTGTGAAACGTTGTAAGGTATGGTACATTCCATAGCAAGCTAACTTCAGCAACAGAGCCAGGATAACGCTTGCGGGCACCCCGCATCTTGGGAATCATCCCTCGCTGTCCTTCTGGGGCGAAAAGTTCAACCGCTCTAAGGCCTCTGGGATTTAGGGCTTCCGGCTCAAGCATTTTCTGGCTTAAGGTGGGTGTAGGGATTAGGGTCCGGGGCTCGGGGGTTTACGGTTTTCGGATTAAAGTTAAGCTTTGGTTTTGAAGGTTCAGTGCTTAGCTGTTCTTAATCTGAGCGGCTCAAGCCTGACAGGGTCTCATGCTTTTCCAGGGGCCCCTACCCTTCCATAGTAGGTTGTGACTCCCTAACCATAGGGCGTTTCCTGCAGCCAGAGTAGGTACAGCCCAAAGTCCTTAAAACAAAATCAGGCGCAGCCCCCACAAAACCGACTGCTCTTTCTCTTCGTTGGCCATCTTAGCGCCCAGGATAAACTTCAGGGGTCGATTCGAGCATAATGGATACCTTTCCGGCTCGGGTTCTTAAATGGATTCTGACGAAGGCCTGCAAGCATTTCCGCAGGGGGTTCGGGGTGTAGAGTTTAGGGTTTACCTGTGGATGTTAAGGTTCTAGACCCTGGCCTTATGTAGGGGTTTTGCAGCTTCATCAGAATAGGGGCTTGGTGCAATTGCAGTATACTTCTATGCAGGAACATAATTCTATGCAGGAGCAGTCAGGAAGAGTATCGGTACTTACTCTGGCAGATTACCCCCCAAAACCCGACACCCCCAAGCCCTGGGTCACAACTAAACCCTACCCCTAAACCCTAACCTCCTCACTGTCTTGCAGGATTGGATCCCCAGAGAAGCCCCGCGCTTTGAATTTCGCAGTTGAGGGTCAGGACGAAGGCTAAACAAGATGCAGCCCTAAGCCCTACAAAATTACGTAGAATAATGGCCTTTTGTAGGTTTTGGGCCATTCTTTGCCTGACCTGAAGCCTGAACTCCGAATTAAGCTCTCTAAATTTTAGGGTTTACAGTAGGGTTTAGCCTGAACCCTAAGCCCTGAACCTTCAGCCCTCAGCCCTTTAAGCTGGAGATCGGAGTTGGGTTCACGGCTCTTGGGTGTCCTTCTGCAAAAGTCGTCAGAATCTTGGCTGACGAATGCCGGTAGCTTCTCTTCCTTGAGCGCCGTTTCCGTCCCTGCAGTTCGAAAACGGTAAAGGGTTTAGGGTTTATAGGCTCTGATCAAAGCGCGCTGGGCTAGGGCTCAGGCAAGCAGTATGCACTATCACCCCCGTAAGCCCCGACCTCAAAGAACTTAAGCACTGGACCGTGCAAAGCCTCAAACGGTCTGCTTGAAGGCTCTCCTGGACCCCAACCACCTTACATTCTAGAAGTAAACCTGGAACATATACAAGGAGTGGTGGCGGGTGGTGCTGATGGTGGTTGATATAGACTGGCATCTGCTTTATGCAAGAATACCTATCCGGTTCTCAATTTCCCCCGATATTCAGCTCTACAATCAGAAGAACTGAGATATAATCTACCTAAAGCTTTCTTTTCGGATTCGTAGCGCTGGAACCATGCATCCTTGCACCGAAGCAGTGGTTCCTTTGGTTCCTCCACGCTTAAACCCATCGGGCTCTGACCTTCATGAGGCGAAAACGAGGCCCCTAAACCCTACCTAGAGTCTCCACTGTAGTTCCTATTTTGGTTTAACCAAATATATAAATAGGATCCTATATATAGGTAACCCCAAACAGGAACTACAATGGAGACTAACGGTGAACCCCAGAACACAAAGTCCAAGATCCACAAACCTGGGAGTTTCCGATTATAGGGGACCCTAACATACGTTTAGGGTTTAGGGTTTAGGGTTTAGGGTTACCCTAAATAGTAGGATCCTCATTATATGGACAAAGAAGGTACCCCGAATTCTCGGAAACCCCCACATGACAAACCTCTGCGCCCTGATGCTGTGCACTCCGCAGCGTGGTACGCGGCACCCTACCAGTGTACTCTCGATAGGAATCTTGCAAAGAAAGACCTGGGACCCGAAACATGCGATTCTTTTGAGGGGATGTCAAAACAAATCCCGAAAACCAGCATTCCCGAAGCAACATGACAACATCAGAGAAAACCCACATCAATCAGTGTACAAGCTGCACGTGAAGCCTTAACCCAGAAACCCGGGAATCCTAAACTTAAACCCCTAAAACCCTACACCCTAAACCCCAAAACCCAGAAATCTCCAAATCCGAACATCCCAGATCACTGGGAGGCGGTCGCAAGGAGGAGACAACATGAAGCTGGCCTTCGTCTGGTCTTTGCGGGCTTCCGTAGTTTAAGATGTAGGGTTTAGGGTTTCAGATAAAGATTTTACGGATTTAGGGCTTTGGGGTTTAGGGGTTTTGGTTCATAGGGTTTGCGTAGTTCAAGATTTAGGGGTTTAGGGTTTAGGGGTTTAGGGCTTAGGGGTTTAGGTAGTTATAGGGCTTATTACGGTTTCGAGTGTCGGGCTTGAAGGTAGAAGGTTTCGGGCTTTGAGGCTAAGAAGCCTTGTGGTAAGCGCGGGGAAACCCATCAATTTTTTTTTCAATCAAAAAAAACTTTCAGCGAAAATCAAAACAAAACTTTTTCACCAATCAAAAAAACTTTTTTCCAATCAAAAAAAAACTTTCTCCATGTGTAGTAGTAGTAGTAGTAGTAGTAGTAGTAGTAGTAGTAGTAGTAGTAGTAGTAGTAGTAGTAGTAGTAGTAGTAGTAGTAGTAGTAGTAGTAGTAGTAGTAGTAGTAGTAGTAGTAGTAGTAGTAGTAGTAGTAGTAGTAGTAGTAGTAGTAGTAGAGTAGTAGTAGTAGTAGTAGTAGTAGTAGTAGTAGTAGTAGTAGTAGTAGTAGTAGTAGTAGTAGTATAGTAGTAGTAGTAGTAGTAGTAATAGTAATAGTAGTATAGTAATAGTAATAGTAATAGTAATAGTAAGAGTAATAGTAATAGTAATAGTAATAGTAATAGTAATAGTAATAGTAATAGTAATAGTAATAGTAATAGTAATAGTAATAGTAATAGTAATAGTAATAGTAATAGTAATAGTAATAGTAATAGTAATAGTAATAGTAATAGTAATAGTAATAGTAATAGTAATAGTAATAGTAATAGTAATAGTAATAGTAATAGTAATAGTAATAGTAATAGTAATAGTAATAGAAATAGAAATAGAAATAGAAATAGTAATAGTAATAGTAATAGTAATAGTAATAGTAATAGTAATAGTAATAGTAATAGTAATAATAGTAGTAGTAGTAGTAGTAGCAGTACTAGCACTAGTAGTAGTAGTAGTAGTCGTAGGAGTACTAGGAGTAGTAGTAGTAGTAGTAGTAGTAGCAGTAGTAGTAGTAGCAGCAGTAGTAGTAGTAGTAGTACTAGTACTAGCAGTAGAAGTAGTAGTAGTACTAGCCGGAAGTAGTACTAGTAGTAGTAGTAGTAATAGTAGTAGTAGTAGTAGTAGTAGAAGGAGTAGTAGGAGTAGTAGTAGTAGGAGTAGTAGGAGTAGTAGGAGTAGTAGTAGTAGTAGTAGTAGTAGTACTCCGGTGGATGGACAAAATCCTGCATTACCCATAATAAGGAATATACCATAATTCCCATAGTGTAGGGTCCTTGGGGTAATGCAGGATTTTGTCTATCAGCCGTAGTAGTAGTAGTACTAGTAGTAGTTGTTGTTGTTGTACCTTCCTTCCTGCCTTCCTTCCTGTCTGCCTGCCTGCCTGCCTTCCTTCCTTGCTGCCTTGCTTCCTTCCTTGCTTCCTGCCTTCATTCCTTCCTTTCTTACTTCCTTCCTGCCTTCCTTCCTGTCTGCCTGCCTGCCTCCCTTCCTTCCTTGCTGCCTTGCTTCCTTCCTTGCTTCCTGCCTTCCTTCCTTCCTTGCTTCCTTCCTTCCTTCCTTCCTCGCCCTTTCTCCCCGCCTTCCTTCCTTCCTTCCTTCCTGCCTTCCTCCTGCCATCCTTCCTTGATGCCTTTCTTCCTGCCTTCCCTCCTTCCTTCCTTCCTTCCTTCCTGTCGTGCTTCCTTTAATAAGGGAAAGTTTTTTTTTGATTGGAAAACAATTTTGTTTTGATTGAAAAAACGTGCTTTTTTGATTGAATTTTTTTTTTTTGATTGGCATCCCGTAAGCGCGATGTACTCTTTGGGAGTCCAGAAACAGGGCCAGCACTTAAGTTAAAGCCACCTCACCACTCACTTCGTATTAGCCTTTGCTTCGTGCTTCAAGACTGTGCATTTAGGCATGTAAGCCCTAACCCCCTAAGTAGAAGCCAGAAAGTTGGAACATGGCTTTAAGAGGATTGGTGCTATGATCTCTGATACTTTACCTTAAGGGCATGAGAATAATGATGCTCCAACTTTCTGGCTTCTACGATAAGCCCTGTTGTGTTTAGAGTTCGAGCCTGAACTCTATATTTTGGGGTTTAAACCCTTGAGGTTTAGAGTTCAAGCGCTGTAGTTTCCAGAGTCACGTCCTGCGAGCTTTAAAACCCTGCGGTGCGCCGAGCAAAAAGTAGGATTAAGAGGTTGAAGGGTTTAGGGCTTTGGGTTTCTTTATCGGTTTAGGGTGCAAGGGGTTTGGGTTGAGGGTTTATGATACCGATTGGCATGTGTAAATAGGGCTCCGTAGGAATACTGGTGAGTGTATACTTCGGGCTTTTGTGGGGAAACTAATTCGGGCATTGATCTAATTCGGCGTATCTTAATCAGGAAATTTGGCGATCCTATTTATGGAGACGGCGATCTATCCATCTATCTGTCTGTCTGTCTACCCTAGACCCCTAAACCCCTTTATTAAAGGCCCCTAGTTCGCATCACTTCTTAGGAACTCCCCAGACAGTTGAATGATGTAGGAACTTGATTAAGAGACCTTGGGCCTTTGTTCGGCTTCCTTATGTGCGTTCTAAACGTTGTGGTTATAGGCCCAGGGTTTCTTAATCAGGTTCCTACCTTACCCGAAAGGCCCTGAACTCGATAACGAAGCACAGATGCTGAGGTCGCAGCTGAATATGAAGCAGATCACAAAGTGCACTAGAAACGTAGAGCGTAGGCCAGCCATCTGTCGCGCGCGCGCGCGAGGCTCTTTAGGGCTTATGGGGTTTGGGGATTCGATGACGAGGCTTCTTGAACGCTAAGATAGGTAAGAACAAGAATAACCTCAAGCCCCAACCTCCTGCGTTTAAGGTCTCACAACCCCCGCAAAAAATTTTTGGGCCGTGAAAGGAGGTTTCAGAATCGAGCCCAACAAGGGTTGCTTTGGTTCTAGACCCCGAATCCTAGAACACTCACGGGCTCAGGCTCAGGGTTTAAGTCGGGCTCAGGGGTTAGGGTTTAGGGTTTAGGGTTTGGGGTTTAGGGTTTAGGGTTTGGGGTTTAGGGTTTGGGGTTTAGGGTTTAGGGTTAGGGTTTAGGGTTTGGGGTTTAGGGTTCTGGATTTATTGTGCGCCCACCGATTTTGTCCAAGCACAGGGCTTGAACCCTAAACCCTGAATCATATACTCATCGTTGCATTTGAGAACCTTGCACACTCGTAAAGCCTTCTAGCAACCCTGATAGTGAAAAGCTGTTAAGGTAACTAACCCTTTCCAATAGAGCACCCTTCAAACATAAAAAAGCCCCTTACAAAACCATGAACAACTTTGAAGCCCTAAACAAATCACAACATCTTGTTGTAAGCCTTGTAAGAACCCTAGATTATCATGACCATGGCAAGATAACACCCGTGCAACACGCTTCAAAGAAGCCGGAAGAGAACCCTGAGCGTTGGCCTTTTAAGAACAAATTTCAAATATGGATACTGAGAATGAGGGTTTCGCTCTACCTAAGCCCACCAGCCTAACTATCTTTTTGCGGACTCACATAGGGAAATCATACTAGCGAGACCCAAAAACGTATTTTCTTTAGGGTTCAGGTAGGGTTTTGGTGATATGGGAATGTTCCTAACAACAATAAGGCTTGCACGCGTATCTTACATAGGTCTAGTCATACTGTAGGAAAAACCTATCACTTAAGGTATCCTCCAGAACAGCACCCATGTCACACTCCATTCTACCGTTGCAACATATCTGGATGTCCATCCTCGACCTGGATGTCGAGGATTGATAGGCCAGGTTTTCACAACAGCACGCCAGCCAGCACTTGGAGCTCAAAATAATCGGTCTTCTGCCAGGTATAGCCCGCCAGGAAAGCAAGGTAAAGCCAGCCAGCAAAGCCAGGTGCTGCCAGCCAGGAAAGCATAGTTTGCAACAATCTCAGCGATAGTCAGAACAAAAAGGACCTTCCACCATCCCGAAACCCTAAACCCTAAAGCCCTATCCATTCCAGCCGGAATCAAGCCGTGTAGCTGCTGCTTCGGGGTATAGCGGGATATTGTTTCGCAGTATTCCAACCCCGCTCTGAAAAAGTAAACCCTAAACCCTGAACTCCAAGCCCTAAACCCTTAAACCCTCTACGCAGATGACAACCTTTCAAACACCAAAAAGGGCATATTGATGCTAACTGTTCCGATCCCCATAATATAGTCGCCCCTAGATCTACCCTCAAAAAAAAAAGCTCTTTTTGTGGCCCTGCGAGGAACCCTCAGAGGAACCCCTATAGATCCCTTAAAGGAACCCTTAAAGGGACCCCTAGAGATCCCCAAAAAGGAGCCCTAAGCCCCGAGCCCCCCCAAAAAAGGGCGCCTGGCACTGGCACGGAGAGGGCCCGGGATTTTTCGGGACCTAGGCCGACGCCTGGGCAGGGTTTAGGGTTTAGGATTTAGGGTTTAGCAACTGGGCTCTAGGTCTTATAGGCTTTATAGGGCTTAAAGGGTTTATAGGGTTTATAGGGCTTAAAGGGTTTATAGGGCTTACAGGGTTTATAGGGCTGATAGGGTTTATAGGGTTTATAGGATTTATGGGGTTTATAGGTTTAGGGGCTTCTTTCCTAAGCACCACCTTGAATTTCCTTAAGGGTGGGAGTTTACGGCCTTTTTTTTGGGGGGGTTTCAGTTTAGGGCTTAGGAGCTGTATTTCTCCGAAGAAAAGCCTTAGAGAAGTGCTCTGAAGTGGTCTGTAAGGCTTTTTGTTCGGGCATTGTGGGCCTTTATAGTCAAATACCAATAAGCAATCCGACGAAAGAATACTAGTAGTTATTGCGTCTTCGATATTAAACCCTAAACCCTGCACCTGAAACCTTAAACACTTTGAAGGGGAATGGAGCGTGGGGTTGGGTGCAGTTGCCTTTTTGTCGTGTCGTGCTGCTGTAGATTTTGCTCAATAGGTGTTTTGCTTTTCGGGCTCCTGGATCCATCTTGAAATGTCTAGGTTTCAATGACTCCATCTCTATGCTGCATTGGGGGTGTCCCGAGTTCACTCAGCTAAAACTTCCACTTAACATTCCAACAAGTGTTGCTTTTTTTGGAGAGTGAGAGGGGTGGGGGCATGACGCCAAACCCCAGAGTGTCGAAGTCAACCCCGAAATCTGGAGGCCGAAACGATTCGAAGGGGAAGGACCACGCAACAGGACATGACTTCCATCGGTCAGCTACCGTCAATCACTAAGGTTTAGGGTTTAAAGTTTTGTTAAAAATTTTGAGTTTGCCCAACTAGGGCCCCAAACAAGCACATCAGCAAGAATATGAGGGATATTCCGATATCCCATATACACCCCCTTAGAATGAAGCCCAATAAGGTAGGGATATCCCTAAAATGCTTATGCTTCAAGCCGTTGTGGGTCCCTAATCAACACTCTGAGACTCCCGCAGCACCCTCAACCCCTAAACCCTAAAACCCTGAACCCTATAAAACTCTAAAACCCCCCACAGTCTGAGACTCCCACGGCAGAGGTGGTTTGCCTGCCTGCACCGACCAAAATTGAGAACTTGGTGCTGCGGTCGCGAGGCAGTCAAGAGATCGTGCTTGGAGATGCGGCGGGCTGGGTTTAGGGTTTGGGGGTTTAGGGCTGGGGGGTCTAGGGTCTAGCTTTTTGAGGTATGGTTTAGGGGTACCCCACCTTTTTACTAATGTTGACATTGAGATGGTCAGGACGATGAATCGAGCGACGAATTCAGAACTTGCAGGTTTGCAGCTTACCGGCAGAGCCAGCCCACCAAGCGCCTTTATTCGACACGTTAAGAGCGACAAGTCTTAACGACCAAAAGACTTGGTGAGAAACAGCTTGGTCTAGTCTGGTATATACCCTATACCCCAGACCTTTGGGGTCGGAGCGTGCCCTCCGGTTCTAGATCGACGCCGCGGAGGAGTGCGCGTGCGGTGTCGTCTGGGCGTGGATCGGCGATCCTTCCGGCTCGTCCTCTCAGTAGGCGGAGGGAGAGGATACGCCTTCTGCGTAGCCTTATGGCTGACCTCAAGCTTGCCCTTGGCCCAAACTTTCGCAGGGCAAGCACTTTGTTCAGCTCCTTGAGAGCCTTCTCGCACTTGCTCTTTTTGAGCTGCACCTCCTCAACCTTCTCGGCCTCGTTGAAGAACCCAGCAGCCCTGTCCCAGGTCGCCGGCCACCTCGCCCTCAATTAGAGCTTTCAAGCTTAGGCTTTTAGGGCCTTTAGGTGGAAAGCTAAAGCGTAAGTGGGAAGCTTTGGTTTGACGAACCATGGGGGATCTCCAAAAGCTTAACCCCAGAACGCTAGCCAATGCGCTAAAAGGAGTTTGAGGCCTTTGATGACACCCCAGAAGCCGAGTAGCTCATTAAGTTCCTATTGAAGCAAAAGAGAGAATCCCATGTCCTTCCACCCAGCATGTTCTCCATAAGCAATCAAGCTCTAAGTTAATCAAGCTCTAATCCCACCCTTGAAACCCCTTGCAAACGCAACGCCCTCAACCGAGCACTGTAGAAAAACTGGCGGTCCATTTTGGGGGGAGGCCCGGGTTTCCATGATTATACCTACACCCCCCAAAAGTACGTAAAATAATGGCTCAAGACCCGCAAAGAGGCTACTTGTACTATTCTACTCCAGGTACAAGCTAGGGATGGGCTTGAACAGTTAGGCTTTCAGCGCACCAGTTAAGCTCTCTTAAGCCCAAAACCACAAACCTGAGCCCTAAAGAAAGGGTTTCGGGAATCGCAGGCCCCATCCTGTTGCAAAGTGTCAAGGCTTGTTTCACATAGACAATAGAACACCTTTTCCAGCACGTTCCCCTCTAGTCCGGGTAGAATAGTCATCTAATATGGCCCCGGACCCCCTTAACAATCCTTGTGACACACAACTGCATGATCTTGGGGTTCTGGTGTGTGTTTGTCTGTGTGTGTCGTGCAGACCCAGGGTTTGGGTTCAGGGCGGGTTCAGGGTTTGGGTCTAAAACGAATTCCCCTCCCTACCATAATGAAACTATTCTACTAGGAGTCCGAATTGCGACCCCTACACCCGAAAGCGTGTAAGGCCCAACAAGAGAATGGGCCCGTACCTTCAAAGACCTTAAACTAGGAGTCCAAATGCTAAAAACGAGAAGCCTAAACCCCAAAGGGGCGGGGGGGGGGGCTTAATCAGGGGTTTACCCTAAGGCTCCATACTAGTTCCTTTTTGCAGGTCATCTTTAGAATCCTATAAGGTAATCCCAAAAAGGAACTACTATGGAGCCTTTGGGTACATTAGCCTCTTCAGGATTCCAGGGCTCAGGGGTGAAGGCAGAAGCAGTCAAGGTTTGGGGGACATCTTCCCCAAATTCACCAACTTAGACCCTACAAATCCTAAACTAAGAGGCCCCAGACTCCAAACCCTGACCCTTAAGCCCCTAAACCCCTAAACCCTAAACCCATACACCTAAACCCTAACCCCTTAACCCCCAAACCCTCAACCCCTAAACCCTTAAACCCCAAAACCTACAAATCCCAAACTTGGAGATCTTCAACTTTTTTCTCGCTGTCAGCTGGTCTTCATGAGCGAGGTGACGCTCGCCATCGCAAGGAGGACCAGGACCGCGCAGGTCCAGATCTGACCTCTCAGAGACTCCAATATCCCTTAATTAAGGAATATACCTTAAATTATAGCAGGATCCCTAATATGATTTAAGGAATATTCCTTCATTAAGGGATATTGGAGTCTCTGGGCTTAACAAGGGCTAGGGTATAGGGTGTTGAGGGTTTGAGTTTAGGGCTTAAGGTCTGCAGGGTTTGGGGGCTACCGTGACCCTGAATAACCTACCTTTTTAGGGTTCCTGATTATGATTTCCTTATATAAATCCTTAAAAAAGGTAGGTTATTCAGGGTTAAGGTAGGGTCTATTTTTTTTAGGGCTCCGTTTTGGGTTTAGGGTCTAGGGTTTAGGGTTTTGGGTGTGGGGTTTGGGGTTGAAGGTATAGGGTTTAGCGTTTAGGGCTTAAGGTTTAGGGTTTTGGGTTAAGGGTGGAAGGGCTACTATACTAGGTTCCTGAGCAGTACCCGTTTAAAGCATTCCTTACAGGGTTCTATAAGGGATCCTGAAAGGGTTCTAAAAAGGATCTCTTGGGGTTTATATAGGGTCTAACTTATCCTATACGAGTTTCTTGAGGGGGTTCCTATCAGGGTCTGGGGGAGGTTCGCTGTAGGAGTCCTGAACGGGCTGCCACAAGAGCTTTAGGGTTTAGGGGTTTCAGGGTTCCCGAAGACTTTGGGAACATACCTTTAGCTATGATGACTAGGTTACCCAGCAACCTAAGAATAAAAAGGCCTCTCTTTCTGGTATTGGGTTACTTTATAAGGAACCTAAGACCACAAAAAGGGAATAAGGGTACTACCGGGCATCCTAGATGAGATCCGTAGTATGATTAACGCACATCCCTTTTTAAGCGCTGCTGGATGGAGTTTAAGGGGCTTGGGGTATAGGAGTTTAGGGTGTGGGGAAGCGTTTAAGCTTTAGGACGGAGGCTTTTTTGTGAAGGACTGAGGTGGAGATGAAGCTTCTACAAGGGATGGTTGAGAGCTAGCGTGGTTCTTGTTCTCGACCGTTTTGTCGAGTTGTTTTGCCGGATGTCGGGCTTAGCGTGTGGTAGGGTGTATGATGTAGGGGCCTTAGTAGTTAGAATAGGGTTTTGGGGCCTATGGTACTATAATTATAATAAGGAGCCCTAAGAATAATATTGATAATTTTTTCAGGTCCCTATACTAGCAGGCTTCGAGGTTCTGACGCCGATGTAGTGGGTGCGGGTTTTGGGCTGAGGCAGCGTCATTGTGCGAAATAGAACATGGTCGAATGAGTATGGTGAACTCTAGTTCCAGAGCTTACATGTACAGTAATAGGTAATCCTGCTTGTCGGGTAATTATCATGGGGAACTAAAGGTTAACATTTTTGGTTATATGGGGATTTTTTTGGGACTATACTACCCCAAAAAAGGTTAAAGCGCGACGTGGAATGAGCTGCGTCCCCAGCGAAAGGCGTGAGACGAGCTTTGGGTTAAAGGTTACCTAGTCGACTACAAGGTAATAGAGCTTAGGTTGGATCTGAGGGCTTAGAACCCAAAGATAGCGGGCACAAGGTGAATCATGGGAACAGTCATAGCAGCGGCAGCTGCGACGTCGTTGCTGATGATTGCTGCGACGTCGTTGCTGCTGCTGATGATGGTGGTGGTAGTTATGACGATACCAATTATGGTAATGGTGACGGTGGTGGTTCGGATGACATGTATTTTAATGCAGATAACTGTGACGATGGTGAAGACCAAGACGATGAAAGTATATGCGCGTGTATTAAATACATGTCCCTGGCCCTGCTTGAAGTAACTAGAAGCAAGCCCGTTGACAATGAAACCCCTCCATGGAGAACCCCACGCTGAAAGGCCCTCCCCCATGTCCAGAATACTCAACTCGATTAGCTAATACCCTACCAAAAGGAACTACTATGGAGCCCATGGGTAAACACTGAATGAAACCCTGCTTGATCCCTCAAGCCGGCCCTAAACTGAGATGGGGACAGTAGCAGAAGTTGCTGTAGCGGCATCCGCAAAACTTGGTGGCATATTGGGTCCCAGGTCCCAGGGTGCCAGGTGGGGGCCTGTTTCGCAGGGACTACAGAAGGCTTTTGTGTTGGTTCCACAAGGCAAGATAAAGCTTTCACCGCTGTATGCTTGAAGCAGCTCCAGACAGGACCTTGCAAACCCTTACAGAGTACTTCCTGTATGCTCTGAATGCCGAAGTGTGCGCCCTGCCAGCTTTGTCATAACCTTCAATCAAGGCGGGCCCTAAACTTGACCCCTTGGTTCTACGCTACTGTACCGGCTATTATCAGGGCTGCTTTAAGGGGTACCATGGCTCTATAGGGCATCTCGCGAATACTCTTACATTTGCTGTTGGGGATACGAGAGTGCAGACCGATGACTAGTAAAGCCTCTTCAGTTCCTGAAGGGCTCTAGTACGTATATACATAAGGATCCCTGCAATCAGGTATTCTTAATCATTTGTCTACATTCCCCTGAAACGATTTTCCCTGAGAGATGAAACCGATAGACTACCTCCAGGCACTTTGGGGTCTAGGGTGGAGGGTCATGCTCTTGAAGCTGAACGCATACTTCGTGCGCACTCCGGATTTGGGTGCACGGTGCTGCGTCTGCCTTGAACTTTCTGGGATTTTGAGTTTGAGGGGCCTTTGCGCTTCCGGCGATGGGTTAGCCACTTCAGCGCGCGTAAGAACGCACCCAAAATGTACGATTAAGCTTTCGAGTCTTGCTTGATTCTTAAGACTACGCTGGAAGCCCGGTTGCAATTGAATGAATCTCTAGAGCCGGCTTTTCCAGGCTTGGACTAAACGCCAACATGAACATAGACAGCTGTGCAGCTAGGGATTACGGTGTTTCGATTTGTAACTGACACCATCCATTTGCTTTGCAGAGTAGTGCTTGCCAACTACTTTACATCGTCCATGCGCAAAGGATAGGCTTGAATAATGTTAGTACCAAGTTAAATATGAGGTTTAATATTAATACTAATATAAACATAACTACTAATATTAATATTAATGGAAATGTGAGTAGTGCAGGAATATTATATTGTAGACTATACCTACAAAGGAACCCGAGAGAATGCTATCAGCAACCATTAACAAGGCTTCTACATTCCAGGCACGACTGAGCTCTCTGCGCAATAGGCAAACCAGACGCTCCCAAGCCAAAGCGACACGAGCACCGCCTGGGTTCAGGGATTAGCTGACATATCGAAGCTGTTTGTCAGTCCCTGGTCAGTCCCTGGAAGCTCTCGGGAACCCCAAACCTTAAACAATGCCCCACATTTTCATCAGCACGATGTGGAAGCAAGCGGAAAGCTGTAGCCGCGCCGATGAGTCTGTACATGTATTAGCACAAGACACAAGAACGTTCGGTTTTTTACTAAACCAAAAAGTCATGGTGTCAGAATGCCGGGCATGCTGTAATTTCTGAACGTTTGGTTTTTGCTTTGCTTGGCGGTGGGTGGGTGGGGGAGGCTGGCGAGGGCGAGTATTGAGAGCGTAACGCATCGCGCCGAGCCGCAATGTTCGTTTACTCAATGTCAAATAGATCGATCTGGCAGTTTTGAAGGCCATGCTGCCGAAACCTACAGGATTTGGGGTTGAGGGGTTTGGGTTTAGGGCTTAGGGTTTTGGGTGTAGGGTTGCCGAAACCTACAGGATTTAGGGTTTGAGGGGTTTAGGGCTTTTGGGGTTTAGGGTAAGGGTAAGCCCTAAACGCTACTGAAGTTATGCTGCTGCTGATCACTGGTGTTCTGATTCTCATTGCCGCGACTGTTACTTTTACTATTCTTCTTCGGGGGTCTAGGCTCTTTCTAGCTCTTGCAGCTTGCTGTGTCGCGGTTTTTGGGGTTTAAATCCCAGAGTTCCCCGTCACCCTAAACCCTTTTGGGGTTTAAGGGTCTGCTGTTTAGGGCTTAGATATTTTAACGGAATCCCGGCACGGCAATCTGCATTGAACTCTTAAACCTCTCATGCTTGGACCATATGTTTCCCCGCTCCCACATAATGGATCCCCCCACAACAGGTCTCCGCACCCACTCGAAACAGCCCGCTTCCATGGACAGCCGGTAGTCCAAGGTGATGAC